ACAGCTTGCCTGGTTGTAAACTGGGAGCTTCCCAATGACGAGAACCCGGGGAGCGACTCCCAGGAGCGCGAGCCCCGTGCCCCCTTAGTTATAACTGCTCTTCCTCTACTCATTCCGTATTATTTTTGCCCTCAGCAAGCACCGCTGCTGTTTTAGGGCCTGCCTGCTGGAGGAGCCCAGACCTTCATTCCTGAACAGGCAAGTGCGTTGACAGTCTCGCCTTAATTGGGTTGCTGTTTTTCACCTGGCTTTGATTATGGGCTGTGGCTTTTCCAAGGGGAACCATAGTGAATGCCCCGCATTCCAAACTCCTCCTTCCCCTCCCTGTGTCACAGCAAGCCAGCTTTTCTTTCACAGTTAGAGTCTGTTGCCCCAGGACCGACCCCTGCTTTGCCTGTGGGTTCAGAGCTGCAACCGCCAATTGGCTAGGCAGCCGTCTCAGCTTCCAGTTAAACGGAACCTGTGCTGCGTCATCTGGCTGAAGCATCTACCCCTTGGAATCAAGACCTTTGGATCCACTGTGGGGATGGGAACAAAAGCTTGGCCAGCAGCTCACAAGGAACCATCCCCATTCCCAGCCCTGACTCCCAGACCCGTGGATGCTGCCTCCCAACCACCACCACGTCCTGGGTGCTGACTGAGAGCGCATGCTCCCTTCTGCAGGACACCGTCCAACCCAAACATGTCGTCATCCCACTGCCACCAAAGGCCATCCCACAGCCAGCTGCTGAAGGCCAGAGTGGTGGCTTCTCTCAGCTGGGACCTATGGTCTCGCTCTGTTTGCCATGACATCAGCTCCATGGTCAGAAGTGACACTATGCAGCAGACTTTGATGGTGGATAAGGTATTGAATAATCTCTCAGAGATAGCAAACGACATCAATTCTTTTTTTAAAGATTTATGTATTTATTTGCCAGCCAGAGTTACACAGAGAGAGAGAGAGAGAGAGAGGTCTTCCATCCGCTGGTTCACTCCCCAATTGGCCGCAACAGCCAGAGCTGTGCCAATACAAAGCCAGGAGCCAACTAGGCTAATCCTCCGCCTTGCGGCGCTGGCACCCCGGGTTCTAGTCCTGGTCAGGGTGCCGGATTCTGTCCTGGTTGCTCCTTTTCCAGGCCAGCTCTCTGCTGTGGCCAGGGAGTGCAGTGGAGGATGGCCCAAGTGCTTGGGCCCTGCACCCCATGGGAGACCAGGAGAAGCACCTGGCTCCTGCCATCGGATCAGCGTGGTGCGCCGGCTGCAGCACGCCAGCAGCAGTGGCCATTGAAGGGTGAACCAATGGCAAAGGAAGACCTTTCTCTCTCCTTTCTCTCTCTCTCTCTCACTGTCCACTCTGTCTGTCAAAAAAAAAAAAAAAATGAAATCCTTCTGGGCCAGCGTTGTGACACAGTGGGTTAAGCCGCTGTCAGCACTGCGGGCATCCCACATGGGTACTTACTGGCTTGAGTCCCGGTTGCTCCACTTCTGGGAGCTAATGGCCTGGGAAAAGCAGTGGATGATGACCCAAGTGTCTGTGCCCCTGCAGCTGCTTGGGAGACTGGGATGAAGCTCCTGGCTCCTGGCTTAGCTCTGACCCGGTACTGCATTTTGTAGCTCCCTGGGGAGTGAACCAGCGGATGGAAGATATCTCTCTCTCTCTCTCTCTCTCTTTTTCTCTTTGTAACTCTAGCTTTTAAATCGATCAATCAATCTGAAAAAAGAAAAGCAATCCTTCCTCAACCCAACACAGCACAGAGCCCGGTGACAAAGACAGCCGTCCCCTACGTCAGAGTGCTGGGTTTGATACCCACCTCCCCCCGACCTCAGCTTCCTGCTGACGCAGGCCCTGGGAGGCAGAGGTGTTGACTCAAGCAGCTGGGCTCCTGCCAGCCACAAGGGAGGCCTGGATGGAGTTCCCAGCTCCTGGCTTTGGCCCAGTCCAGCCAACGTGGGCATTTGGGGAGTGAATCAGGGGACAGGAGCTCTCCCCATCTTTCTCTCATATAAATAAATAATACACAAATTTTTAAAAGATAACTGCTTAATAAACCAAGGATTCTGAGACTGTATTCCCCAGGCCATAAAGTCGGACGGCGTGGCCGAGCTCGGTGTTTCATGCACTTTCCCTTGCAGTCAGCATCTCATCCACACCCAAGCCAGCACACACAGGGCTTCCCTGTGCACCGTCTCTCGCAAAGCCTGACTTCATTTTCTTACTTCTTGGCATTTGAATGAATGCTGGTTTTCCTTTGCTTTATTTTTAAGTCAGTAGGCTAAGCTGGTCTCTCATCGTCACAGTGGAATCTAAGTAGTGCTGTTTACGAATTTAATGGGCAAGAACAACGAACACCATTCAGTAGAAGCTGAAGCTGGACACAGATTAAATTTTGAGCCTCAAAAAAGTGCTCTGATGAAGCCAAATCATTGAACGGTTTTGGATGAACAAACTGTTTTCCACTAAGTATATACTTTTCTTCCCTTCCCTGCCCCACCATCCAGGGAAAGTTATATGAAAGAAAAGACTATACTCAAATTTTAAGTGTAAATTAAATTTCCACCTCCCTCCTTCATCCGAAGCTACTCACAGATAAAGCCTACCATTCTTTCCACTGCACGACGTGGCACACAGACCTAAAACCATGCAGCCCTGGATCTGTTTCTCCCTAGCTTTGGCCACGTTAGGAGAGGTTAGGACACAGAGGAGAGTCATAAACATTTCCACTCAGCAAAACGCTTCAGCAAGAAATCGCATCTTGATTGACATGAACTCAGTAGAGGTGGACACAGCAAACACAAACAGCAAGCAAGTCGGTAACTGTAGAGAAGACGCCAGCCTTGCCCAGTCCACTACTCGGCATGAACACCAAGTAACACAAGGAATTGCAATAAACATGCCAGGAGGGCAGAGGAAGATGTTTAAGTTTTAAAACAATTCTTTCTGTTGCCCGGTGATCAAACCACTTTTGTAGACTTTTTTCCTCTGGGTCCCAAAACTGGCTCCGTTTCTTTTACTTTGCCTTGTTTTTGTTTCTTTCTAGGGTCTTGGGGGTTCTTCTAGGGCTCAGCTGCACAGTTTGGCCTTCAGCGAGTTCGTCTCTCCGTGTTGTGGGCCCTGATTCCACTGTTTCATGCCTGGGAGCTCTGCTTCTGCAGGCTTCACGTCCCTCATGTGCCCTGAGTTTTAGTGTGAAAACCAGGGGCAGATGTCTCGCACAGCAGTTATGACACCGCTTAAGATACCCACATTCCGGGGCCCGTGCTGTGGCGCAGTGGGTTAATGCCCTGACCCGAAGCACCGGCATCCCATATGGGCACTGGTTCAAGACCCAGCTGCTTCACTTCCTGTCCAGCTCTCTGCTATGGCCTGGGAAAGCAGTGGAAGATGACCCAAGTCCTTGGGCCCCCGCACCCACGTGGGAGACCTAGAAGAAGCTCCTGGCTCCTGGCTTCGGATCGGTGCAACTCCAGCTGTTGCAGCCATTTGGGGAGAGAACCATCGGATGGAGGACCTCTCTCTCTCTCTCTCTCTCTCTCTCTCTCTCTCTGCCTCTCCTCTCTCTGTGTAACTCTGATTTTCAAATAAAATAAATAAATCTTTAAAAAAAAAAGATACCCACATTCCACGTTAGAGGCCTGGGTTTGCATCCCAGCTCTGCTTCCAATTCCAGCTTCCTGCTAATGTGCACCCTGGAAGACAGTGATGACAACTCAAGTACTTGGGTCCCTGCTGCCCATATGGGAGATCTGAATGGAATTTTCGGTCCCTGTCTTCAACCTGGCCCAGCCCTGGCTGTTACAGGCATTTGGAGAGTGAATCAGCAGATGGAAGATTTCTATCTCTGCCTCTCTATCAAATAAAAGTTTTAAAAATAAAAACAAAATAAAATAAAATTCATGTTCAGGAAATGGTAAATCAGCAGTTTTCTTTGTAATTTGTGGTGCTCGGTTGCTTTTGTGCAGACAAGTCCTTTCTGTACCTGGTGTGTTGGCCCAGGACACAAGCGATGTCTTCTTCCACTCCAAAGATTTAGGTGAAGTGAACTGACTTTTTCAAAATGCAAGCTGTGCTTCCCCAGGAAAACATGCTGTGTAATCACGTCTAAATGCTTACAGTGGTACCTTTCAAACACAGCAACGTCTCTGGGGACTTTGTTGATTGATGTTTAGAAAACCAAGGCTATGTCGCCATGTCACCATGATCCTTTTTTCTTTTTTTTAAGGTTAAATAAACTAAATAAGTTATTTGCAGAGTTACAAAAAGAGGGGGAGGAAGAGAGAGAGGTCTTCCACCCACTGGCTCATTCCCCAAATGGCTGCAACAGCTGGAGCTGAGCCGATCTGAAGCCAGGAGCCAGGAGCTTCTTCCTGGTCTCCCACATGGGTGCAGGGGCCCAAACACTTGGGCCATCTTCCACTGCTATCCCAGACCATCAACAGGGAGCTGGATCGGAAGTGGAGCAGCCAGGACTCGAACCGGTGACCACATGGGATGCCAGCATCACAGGTGGTGACTTTCCCTGCTTCACCACAGCACCAGCCCCAATAAAAATAATTTTAAAAAATGTTAAAAGACACTTCAATGTATAGAGCAGCCATGAAGAAGAGCAAATTTATGTGTCAGTTTTAAGTAAATTAGTTGGCTTCCCGTAATTACAAAAAGAGGTCCCCATTCCCCTCTCCCTTACTACATTATTTTCCAAAGCAGCTCAGTCCTCAAGCCAAGAAACTGCTGGCTAGCGATTGCTTCTGTTGCCACAATCTTCTCAGTAAATAATGTTGGGAGCTGGGATGAAGCTTAATAAGAACTTTCTTGAATGTTCCCTGTTGCCCTGACATAGCAATCAAACCTCAACAACAGCCTTCATTGATGCAAAAAGTGAGCTGAGCTCATCCCTCACCCCCAGCTCCTGCTGTAAATAGTTACTAAAGGATGAAACTAAAGAAATAAGGGCTGAAGACATGAACAGGAGTCATAGCTCTCCCCTCCCATGCAAATTCAACAGCTCGATCTCTCCAACCACTAACATTTTAAAAAAAAGACTTTATTTGAGAGGCAGAGTTATAGACAGAGAGAAAGAGAGACAGAGAGAAAGGTCTTCTGTCTTCTGGTTCACTCCCCAGATGGCCTCAATGGCCAGAGCTGTGCCAATCCAAAGCCAGGAGCCAGGAGCTTCTTCAGAGTCTTCCATGTGAGGGCAGGGGTCCAGGTACTTTCCACTGTGTTCCCAGGCCATGACAGAGAGCTGGATTGGAAGTGGAACAGCTGGGACTCGAACTGGTGCCCATATGGGATTCTAGTGCCGTAGGCAGAGGCTTAGCCTTGTATGCCACAGTGCCAGCCCTCCTCCAACATTTTAATCAGCATGAGCCTATGACCATACAGGTGTTCCACCAGTGGATATAGAAGTATCAGGTGATCCTTTCCAAATTAGGAAATAATTGTTCTTGTGTTCATTTTTGTAACCGTAGTGAAGGTGTAGCCTGGAGAGGCAGAGCAGGCTGGGAGAACAGCTTCTGGAAGTTGTCCAGGAGGTTCCTCAGCTCAGCGTCGTTGTACAGGACAGCTCCCCAGCCCAACTCCATGATCTCAATCAGCGTACCCAGCGGCTTCCTAGTCCGGCAGAATTTCTTCCGGGTGTTTGATGGCCTTCCTCTGCTTCGTGGTTCTAGCGTCATCAGATTTCAAACTGGCTGACAGCAAAGCAGCGAGTCCCCTAGAGGAGTGAGACAAAAACGGCTTCCTGTGCAGAATGGCCAGCAGTTCCCGGCCCTGCAGTCACCAGCGCGTGACAGTGCCTGACCCCAGCCCTGGGTACGCGCAAACAGTTGCTGACGAGTCACACAGAGCTCCCTCAGCACACGGGCTCTGAAACACATCTCAAGTCACTTACCCTAAAAAAGTTGCCGTGCGTGGAGACACGGCACCCTCCTTAAGGCCAGAGCCGCTGATGGTGGTATCATTTGACACACTCACCAGCCTTCTAGGAAGAACAGCAGGAAAGCTACCTGAGGTATGCCCAGGTTCCCTCTGACCTCAGGATGCAGAGAGCTGCTGGGCTGGGCAGCCTCCCCCTGCCTGCCCACACACCTCACACCTCTTCATGCGCCTTGCTTGGGCTTCCCCACAGCATGGCTGTTTCAAGAGAGCTGATGTCCTACCTTGGTGGCTGGCCCAGGGCAAGCAGTTCAAGACACCCAGGTGGAAGTGCAAAGCTTCCTGTGATCTGTCCTGGGAAGTCCCAGAACTTCACTTCACTTCTGAAGTCTGTGTTTCCAAAAGTTGCTCAGTCCAGCCCAGATGAAGGGGAGGGGGACTTGGCTCCATTTCTTGAAGTGGGGGGGGCAAGGTCCCACTGCAGAAGAGCTGTGGGGTGGGAGATGGTTGTGTGGCCTTCTCTGAACACTACAGTCTGCCAGACCTCAGGATTCCAAATTTTCTAACAACGCTCCAGTGTTCATTTTAGTGGACTGGATTCCAGTAGAGAAAAACAGCCTCATTTTTGCTCTTGCTGATTTATTTGGATAAGATGGAAATTTATTAGACTTTCCAACCAACCAAATTTCTACATTTGAGTTTTAAACATAGTTAAGTGTTACTGTAATTTTTAAAAGATGTGTTTTATTTATTTGAAAGGCAGAGTTACAGAGAGAGGGGATGGGAGAGACAAAAAGGTCTTCCATCCTGTGGTTAACTCCCCAAATGGCTGCAATGGCAGGGACTGGGCCAGGCTAAGGTCGGAGTCAGGAGCTTCTTCCGGGTCTCCCATGTGGATGGCAGGGAACTGACTACTTGGGCTGTCCACAGCTGCTTTCCCAGGTGCATCAGCAGGAAGCTGGATCAGAAGTGGAGCAGCTGGGACTTGAACTAGCACCCATATGGGATGCCACAATCGTAGGTGATGGCCTCATCCACTATACCATAATGCCAGCCCTATTACTATGATTTCAAAGCAGCTATTGATTCTGAAGTAGCAGGCTTTTTAAAAATACAAATGTAGGCCGGCGCCGCGGCTCACTAGGCTAATCCTCCACCTTGCGGCACCGGCACACCAGGTTCTAGTCCTGGTCGGGGCGCCGGATTCTGTCCCGGTTGTCCCTCTTCCAGGCCAGCTCTCTGCTGTGGCCCGGGAGTGCAGAGGAGGATGGCCCAAGTACTTGGGCCCTGCACCCCATGGGAGACCAGGATAAGTACCTGGCTCCTGCCATTGGATCAGCGTGGTGCGCCGGCCGCAGTGCACCGGCCGCGGCGGCCATTGGAGGGTGAACCAACGGCAAAGGAAGACCTTTCTCTCTGTCTCTCTCTCTCACTGTCCACTCTGCCTGTCAAAAAAAAAAAAATACAAATGAAGGGGATGACGCTGTGGTACAGTGGGTTAAGCTACCACATGCAGCACCTGCATCCCATATGGGCACAGGTTTGAGTCCCGACTGCTCCACTTCTGATCCACCTCCTGCTAATATGCCTGGGAAAGCAGCATATGACAGCCCAAGTACTTAGGCCCCTGCACCCACATGGGAAACCCAGAAGAAGCTCCTGACCCCAGGCTTCAGCTTGGCCCAGGCCCTGTCATTAAGGCCATTTGGGGAGTGAACCAGTGGATGGAAGACTTCCCTTTCTCCCAGATTCTGCCTGTCCCTCTCTGTAACTCTGCCTTTCAAATAAATAAAAAAAATAAATATTTTTAAAAAATCCAAGTGTCTGGATTTTAAATGTGATACAGATATTATAGTGATAAATTGCGTGTTTCCTACTGAGTTTTACAATGCTGGAGGCTAAATTTGAATAATGTAATAGTCGAAAGTTACAAAAGAAATGAGGACAAGGTAAGGACAGAGAAAGCAGCCTCCAGAAAACTCTCTACTAGCACTAATTCGTGACAACTCCCCTGAGTCTCAGTAAGACTTGAGTTTAGGCTCAACTGTCAGACTGGGAGGAATAAGCCCAAAAGAAAGCCGTCATTATAGACTGTCCATCATGTCACCTGTTGGGACCCAGTCAGCAGAAGGGACCTTGCATCTAGATCAAACCCCATCATCGGCACAGTTGAAAACACCATTCAGTGTGGATGGGTGCAGAAGAGGGAGAAGACCCAGAGAGAAGCATTGAGGAGATGTGGTCTGGAGGGCAGTCATGGAGATGGGCAGGAGGAGGTCATCGGAGCCCTGCAGGGGATGCAAGATGTCCCTACAGGCAGACACTGGGAGGACACCAGGAAGGCCCTGGACCAGGGTGGGGACGTTCTCAGACTCCCGAGAGACTGAACGTGCCAAAGCAAAGGGAAGAACACACAGTTGAAACAAAACAGGGTTAACACCAGTCACATTCTCTTCTGCCTTAAGGTTATCGGGGTCCTGGAAGCAGGGGGACGCTGAGGGCAGGGGCATTCGGCTTAAGTGAGTGATTTACTTTTTTTTTTTTTTTTTTTTTTTTTTTTGACAGGCAGAGTGGACAATGAGAGAGAGAGACAGAGAGAAAGGTCTTCCTTTTTGCCGTTGGTTCACCCTCCAATGGCCGCTGCGGCCGGTGCACTGCGGATGGCGCACCGTGCTGATCAGAAGCCAGGAGCCAGGTGCTTCTCCTGGTCTCCCATGCGGGTGCAGGGTCCAAGCACTTGGGCCATCCTCCACTGCACTCCCTGGCCACAGCAGAGGGCTGGCCTGGAAGAGGGGCAACCAGGACAGAATCCGGCGCCCCGACCGGGACTAGAACCCGGGGTGCTGGCACCGCAGGCAGAGGATTAGCCTATTGAGTTGTGGTGCTGGCCTAAGTGGGTGATTTAAAAGCCATTTTCTGGACTCACCTCCAGAGAGCCCCAGGTCAGGCTGTCTGGGGTGCAGCTCAGGAATCTGCCATTTTTACAGCCACTCCAGGTGGTTCTGCGCCCCATGTTTTGAAAGCTGCAGTGAACAGAATCCTTTCCACGTGGTGGCCAGCTCAAGGGTGTTGAAGGCAACCGGGTTAAGGTTTCAACCCACAAAATAGAATGGTTAGAATCAGAGCCTGGCACATACCTGAGGTCCAGGAATAGTCAGAAACGGCACGATTTCACAAGCTTTGCTTTCCAACAACTATGCTAAAACTCTCACTGCCACATCAGAGGTCTGAAATGTGACCAGGAACATTGCACATCACTGAAAAAATCAGAAGAATTCAAGACATGTTCCCAGCCTGGGTTTGAAACCTGAACATTTGAGATGAAAAAATACTTTAAAAAAAAAAGCAAGAACAACCCTTGTTGATGGTAGAAAATTAAAAAGTTAGATAAGCAAAAATAATATTGTTAACATGCATGATCCCATCCCCCAGAGATACGCACAATTAACCCCTCGGTGTGTCTCTTTCCAGCCTTTGTCTAGACAAACACATCCATCTGTGGCTTTGTTTTTCTCCCATTTGCTGGGATCGTGCTGTGCACGCCTGGCTAGTGTGGCTGTTTTTCAAGCTGTAGGTTTAGAACCGGGTGCCGAGGTCATTCTCTCTGGCTCCTGGATCGTACGGTTTCCCGCCCCCACTTCCCTCCGTGTCTTGGCTTCATTCTTCTCTGTTGGCTGACTTGCCTTTGTGCCTCAGAGGGGCTGCTCTACAGATTGCTAACAGCTGTACCAGTACATGTGACTCTCACAGCATTGCACCAAGCAACAGCAGCCAGACAGAAGAAAACGTATTGTATGACCCATTTCTACAAAATTCCACAAAATCCCAACCAATTTCTAGCGACAAGAAATAGGTCAGTGATAGCCTGAGTGAGGGGTGGGGAGGTTGACTTCACATGGCACCAAAGGAACGTGGGGGAGTAATTCAATAGTCCCTGTTGTGATGATGGTGGTCATTCTTGGGTGCATGCTTTGTCAAAATTCACTGAACCTAAGATGGGGGCATTTCACTCTATGTAAATTACGATTCAATAAAATGAATGTGCCTTGCACTTATTCACTCTTCAAAAACTTGAGAAAGGGGGGACTGGCCTTTGGCAGAGTGGTTAAGATGTTGTTTGGGGTGTGCCTGCCTCACACTGGGTATGGAGTACTGAGTATGAGACCCACATCTGGCTCCTGACTCCAGGTTCCTGCCAATGCACATCCTGGGAGGCAGCAGTGATGGCTTGGCCAGTTGGGTTCCTGCCACCAACGTGGGAGACCTGGATTGAGTCTCAGCTCCCAACATCAGCCCTTAGCCTAATGTCAGTCATTGTGAGCATTTTGAGAGTGAACCAGCAGCTGGGAGCTCTCTCTCTCTCAAACAAATACATGTGCTTAGATGTTGGAGAAAGGGAGTCTTACTGGGTAAGCTGGAGTCCTAACAGCCAAGGCTTCAGGGCCACTGCTAAAGACACAGATTGGGGTAGATGCATGGCTAAGGCCTGAAGCTGAGAGCTGGAACTCCAGTCAGCCTCCCTTGCTAGAAACAGCCCTGAGACTCAGGGGTAGACCCTAGTGGCCATGTCGGTGTGGAGGGATTCAATCCACCTGCCACTGGTCCAGGGTAGACACATAACCCAAGCCAGGTCAGTTCTTCCCCGAGAGTTTTCAAACAGGAGCCGGGGTGGGAGAATCAGAACATCACTGGTGGGAGCCTGGTTGCATGCGAGGCACAGACGCTGCTGGCAAACAGGTCTCCTGTCTCAGAGGACTACTCAGTGTGTAAAGGACTGGGGCAGAGGGCAAAGTGCTGGCAAGAGGATCTCTGCAGAGCCGAGTGGGTGTGCAGCCGAAG